CTCCTCTCCTATCTCCCCACTCCCATACCTTCCTTCCCCCTGTAAATACTTCCCCCAAGCCGATCGACCTCATCTCCCCCTCTCTATCTCTTACTTACTATCCACACCCCTTTGTACAGTAACATTACTCACCTCACGTAATATCTATGTATATCCACAATCCTGCTCACTTCCCAAAACATGCGAAAGTCACGATGTCATCCCCTTGGATAATTTGGAATATCGGTATATTGATACTTAAAGGTAAGAGGTACCAGGAGAAACTAGTTGGTATGTTAGTGTTAGATCTACCAAGTTAGTATGATGGTATGATGGTATGAGCTACCGAGGATAGATATTCCTTGATTGGAATGCTAAAGAGAAAGGGAAAAATTCGATAATTAGTATTCAATATTCAATATTTAATAATTAATAATATTTAATAATAAAAATAATAAAAGAATAAAATAATAAAATAATAAAAAATAATAAAAATAATAAAAATAATAAAAATAATAAAAATAATAAAAATAATAAAAATAATAAAAATAATAACGTAACTTGACTAGAAGTAAGTTATATCATAATATAGATCAAAATCACCCCCTCATTTCTTTATTTTATACATTTATTCAATACACAATGAATCAAAAATCATTAAATCATAATGAATCGAAAGATAATATTCAAAAGATTATAAAAAATCTAAAAAATAAATAATTTATTTCAATTCGAAGTGCTGCTATTTATTTTAAGATTCCGAAATCAACCTTAATAAATTGAATAACTGGACAACAATCATACTCTCAATTTCACAAATCCTTTTAAAAACTTTTCAATATGGAAAAGAAGACTCTAGTATGATGGATCTTATAATTAATAGCTACTAAATATTCTACAACTTTTGGGTTATTAAAAGAAATAACTTAAGAAATTCTAAATTAATATGTCATTTTCGTATCACCATCTACCCCTCCATTCTTTCAATTAAATTATATAGGTCAACAATAGATTTATAGGTTTTTAGATTAATATCCCAAACTTAAAGAAATTTATTCTTGTAAATTGGAATTTGTAAAACATAAAGAAGCCATATTTGAAACAATTTCAGCATGATTTTCAATATTTTAAGCACAAATTGAAAAACGATATTATAAATTCAAGAATATATATAACATAGATAAAATAGGATATATAATTGGAGAAATAGAATCAATATGTATAATTATAAATTCTATTCTCAAATCGAATTGAAAGATTATAGCAGGAAAGTAAAAATAAATAATTATATTAAAATGTATAAATATAAATAAAGACTTTTTACCCTTTATAATTATTTTCAAGGCTCAAAATATTAATACTATATAAATTTTAATTAACATTTCTTCAAATTGATATTTCTCAACAAGTAATAATAAATAGACTTTTAATAATTATAGCTTTAAATAGATATATAAGGTTTTTGAATCAGAATCTCGAAAAATATTAGGAGATTAGTCTCGATTATTAATTATGAATAGTTATTCTAGTTATATTATAGGAAGTTTGATTGCTTTTTATATTGAAAAGGAAATTGATTTTCTTATTCTACTACCTCATTGTTTATATCTACTTCAGCTATTGGATGTTGAAGTATATGGACTAATAAAGCGATATCATGCCCAAGAGATTGATCGATACTTTTGAGCAGGAATACAACAAATATAACAATCTGATTAAGTACAGCTTTTTCAAAAGATAAGAGAAAAAGGTCTTATTTGTCAAAATATCAAAAGCGAATGAAAAGGAGCAGGTTTGAATCCATTTAGTTCTTATTAAGTTCTAAATAATCTTCCAACCCTGCTTTTACTATTACCTTTTATTCCAAATACATTAGCAAACCTAGAAGATCTAGATCTCTCTTTGCTTAATAGCTCTCCTCTGAATAATATTAAGCTGCAATAAGCAAATAAGATATTCAATTCAGTTTTATTCATTAATAATCTACTTACTTCTTTAATATAAAGATATGCAAAGCGAATAACTCATTAAATTAAAAGTTTAAATACTGAAAATGCTATTCTTCAAAAGGAACTTCAAGAATATAAAAATTACTTAAAATATAAAAGAAATGAAAAAATAGAAAGAAAATAAAATTAAAAGATGAATTTATATTTAGTATTGAAGAAGTATTGAAAATTATCAAAGAGGCTGAGCAAATATTCTTACCAAAACAACAACATGGTAGACCATTTAAGCATCAAATTGATCAGGTAGAAGGGGAGATGAAAGAGGAAGAGGATAGTGATAGTTCAATTGGATCAGTAATAATTGTAGATCATTCTGTAGTATGTAGAACAAGGTCAAATAAGAAAATATGATTTTTGTGACCTATATCATGACATGACCCACTTCTAGTCAAGTTACGTTAAAAATAATAAAAATAATAAAAATAATAAAAATAATAAAATAATAAATCCAACTACCTTACTCAATCTCAAACCTTATTCAATCTCATCCCCTTCCTTCCCTCCACTCATTTAACCCAATCCCAATCCCAAGCCTCCCAACCTCTTCTCTTCAAAAATCCCCCTCCCAGTCCCCAATTCCCTAGCCTCAAAACCACAATTCCCTAGCTCTAAACTCAAAATCTCTCTCACCACGTAAAAATTTAAGCATTTGTTTAAACTCCAAGCTAACCACCCTATAATTCCCGTCCAAACTAACCATCCCATCCAAGCTAGCCATCCCATCCAAGCTAACCACCCTGATTCCCATCCATGCAATCCCATCCCACCCCATCCATTTCATTACCTCTATAAATCCCAGTTCAAATCTAAGTTCAAACTCCCGAGCCGATCAACACCAAATCCACTAATGCACATCATGCTACATGCATCCTCCCTCCTGCAGAAATAAACTTTCCCCATCCATGACATCTGTCATGATGACGCTATCGGAGAAAAATGGATTTCGTTATATTCCTCTTGGCTACCATTATACCAAGCATACCTCCAAGGGAGGGCCCCTGGGTACTTTAGGTATATGCTAAGGTTTAAGTTAACTTCTACGTACATGCTCTTTTTCTGAAGGTCCCCAGCCATTCATTGATTAATTGATTGCCAAGAGATGAGAAGAAAAGAGGAGAGGAGAGGAGAGGAAATAAGAGGAGAGGTGATGTAGATCTATCTGAGAATCAGATATGGAGGTGGGTCAGATTTCGTTTGGGGAAAGTTAGGAGGGTCATGTACACGAAGTATAGGTTTCGTCATTGGGGGGTAGAGATGCGCCGAGAGTTTGTACGGGATTGTGAAGAGAGCAAATTGCAAATGTGAGTGCGGGAGTTGCGGTAGTTTGGGGGCATGGTTTTCTGGGAAAAGGATGATCGTTGGAGTATGGATATTGCATTGTCTCGTTTGACGTAAATGCACAAGATTCCGTGTTTGACAGAAGACCATCATGGGAAAGATGATATACTGCTCATCAGGAATTGCATTCTTCACAAAGCATAATCATGGAATTCCTTACGAGCATGACACGTTTTATTGATTGACTGACGTAGATTCATAACTCAAGAATTACATCCTCAGCTCACCAAAGCATAATCATCAAGAACTTCCTCACCATCATATCATACCATACCATACCATACCATACCATAATCAAAAACCTCCTCACGATGGTGACATATCTTCCCAACTGACGTACACATGCCGCTCACTCACACTGACGTACATCCATCCCCTATCCCCATCATTTCCTGAAACCTTCTCCCTCCCCCGTTCCCAAAAATTGAAAATTGAAGAGGACAGTTTACATTCCCACCTCCATACATTCTCACGTCACAGCTGCGACTTCTTCTGTGTACTTATCACTATCACATGAAGTACAGCGACGACAAGGTTAGCGATTCCATTTGATAGATATAAAATGAATGATATTCAGCAGAGGAATCTTGTAATTAATACTTACACACAAACCACAAGGCTTGAAAGTATATAATCTTGAAATCTAAATTCGAGTCCGAATCTGAAGACGAAGAGATCAAATCCCCCCTCAACCCATCACTATATCACTACAGCCCTTAATCAAATCTCAAATCTCAAATCTTTCTCAACAAACCCAGAATACAAACCAAATACCACAGCAAAGCATAGCTTTACTCACAGCCATACGCCCAACACATATCACACCATATCACACCATATCACATCACATCACATCACATCATGTCAATCCAATATACCCATCCACCCATCCACCCATTATACAATGCTTCAAACTCGCGGGTTCCAAGCACTTCTTCCCGACTGACAATTCAATTCAGTGCTCAGTGCTCAGCGAACGTTGGATATCTCATTGTGACCGAGTAATTACCTATCTGCTATTTTGTAGAATGTTGTTGGAGTTTGTTGGTATATATTAGATATTAGATATTAGATATTAGATATTAGATATTAGATATTAGATATTAGATATTAGATATTAGATATTAGATATTAGATATTAGATATCAAACACTAAACATTAGACATTAAACACTAAACACCAGATACTAAATACCAGATACTAAACACCAGACATTAAACATTAAATATTAGACATTAAATACCAGATATTAAACATTAGATACTAGACACTAAATATTAGACACTAGATATCAGACACCAGATACTAGATACCAGATATCAAACACCAAATACCAAACATTAGATACCAAACATTAGATATCAGATACCAGAGCATAGAATATGGAATACATACAAATACCCACACATATCTCAAAAGTCATTTCGATTCCCAGTAGCAACTACCTACCCACCTATCTAACTACCTAACCCGTCGCTATATCATCTCACAACCCAACCTATATGATCGATCACATAGTAAAATATACCTCTTCCCTCCCTCTCACCAGCACTATAAGCTCTAAACGCAATTCCCTAATCCTCCTACTCTTTCCTTCTTTTTTCCTTCCTCATGCGCCATCCTAACCCAATGGAAATCATAATCAAACGTCAGACTCAACGCCAACGCCAACATCACACATACACATATATACACCCGAACAAAACAATCAATAACTCCTTCCTACATCTAGACACCTTCATAGTTTTTAGAAATCGACATGATTCTTTGATTATCGTACTAACTAACAACTCCCAACAACGTAATTTATCATTGGCCGCTTTGTGGTACATGAACCTTTGCCCTAAGCTTGTCCCACTAACGCTCATGCAATATAATATGCAGACTCAACAACAAAATAATTTTGCGAAAATGCTATTAGACTATTGGTTTATCCATCGAAACTAATAGAATAACATCGCCCGCAAACATAATGTTGTAGACCTTCAAACCCGGCAGAATAATCTGAATGCCCCATCTCCTTTCTTTGCCTGTAACTTGAAAAAAACAACAAAAAAAAAAGACCTTTTGTTTTCACGCATCATGAAGCCTAAAAGCCACACCCGGATCAAACCCCTCATGCGTGTATTTCAACTCCCCAGCCCCGTTCCGTTCGCGTGTAAAGTAATGGAGAAAAAAAAGTGGCGTGTATTCAATCCCCCAAGGAGGTAGTAACAGCCATAACCAAATGCAAGAGAATACAACCATCTACCACCCCATGTACCGTGTTTTCCACATAGAACGTGATCATCAAATATTTGCATCATGTTCGGCAGCGAACCGAATAGAAAAGGTCCTTCTAAAAAAAAAACTTTGAAAAGGAAAACTTGCAAAACCAAACAACCTCAAACGCAAAACTAGATATGTTACATATGATACAACTTAATGCTCATACTTAGTTTGAGCTGGATTAGCTAGAGTGAGTGTTAGCGCCGGGTCAATCAAAAGGGAGAAATGAGGGGATAATGACATTGGTGGCTGTACATATGGTTTGAAGACCCGTAAGGTGAAGCTGGGTACCCGGTGTAGTGATCCATGTTTGGTTGGGCATTGCCGTAGCCTTGTAAATGTTGAACGGAAGAAGCTGGTGCTTGGCTTTGTTGGTATTGGTTTGGAACCTGTGCACCAGGCTGGTACCCAATGGGGTTAGAAATGGGTGGAAGTTGAACAGTCGACCGAGAATAGGCCGCAGAGCCGGCCTCTGGGTGGGCTTCGGGAACAGCAGGAGCACCACCGGCACGAGCAACCTCTTGCTCCTTGCGTTGCTGTTCCTCCTCCTTCTTGCGAGCTTTCCACTCTTTGCGAATTTCTTTGAATTCTGCGCGCACCAGGCGTTAGCTTGCCAATGTTTCACAGCGTATTCTTAACCCATGCTAGTGAATAAGGTTATCGCCAATCGATGTCAGACCTAGTCCAACGCCTCTTGTAACCACCCGTAAATGGCACTTGGCCCCAACGAATTATCCGTGAAGACAATGACAAAACCCCTGAAGGGCACATGTGGAAAGTTCGAAGAATTTTCCGACAGTCCATTGAAAGAATGTAGGATCACATGGAAAAAAAAAATCCAACATACCTTCTGGTGTTCGTTTGTTTCCATGGGATTGCATGGTTACGTGAGCATTAAGATGGTTCAATGTACCATACGCCTTCTCACATCCTTGATGTCCACACTTATACATACGTTCAATTTCTTCAAATCGTCTTCTAGGGCGCTTCTGTTGACTAGATCCGGGGATTGGAACAAATGAGTAAATCTGAGGGAGGCGCGCGTCCTGTTAATTCTTAGTTGTTCTGCAAAAAGTGACAATGAAGGAAAGAGCTTGATGAAAATCACGCGTTGATTCTCGCACCGCGTTCTGCACATCAAAACAATTGCGACGCGCGCTTCGGATCTACCGCAGAGAATGCGCGCACCGTGAACTGGACACGAAAATGGGACTTACTTGACTTGGTCGTCCAGCTGAAGCTGGGAGCGACTGAGCTTGAGGACTGGCAGAAGTGTAAGGAGCAGGTACCATTCCGGATGGATGATTCGCGACATTTGGGTGGTTGGGGTGGTTTGCGACATTAGGATTGGGTGCAGAGGGGTCGGCATAACCGTGCCAATTGGGTCTTGGTTGCGAGTACATCGAGCCGCCGGAATGTGTGGGCGGATATGGGTGATGCATCTGTTCTTGTGCCGAGTATGTGGCGTGTTGTGGGTTGTAGGGAGGGTAAGTTGGGCTGGAGGCAGCAATTGATGGATCTATAGGAACATCCTGGTCAGATTTGATTTGCGAAGTTTGATGGGTTGAACGGCCATCTTGCAAAGGTATTGACGGACTTGTTGGTTGAGCCATTCCTCCACTGCTATTGCTATTATTGCTCGAATAATGTGCTCTGTGTAAATGATCAAAGTTGGCTGAACGCGCCGACGATGGGGGATAAGCAGCACCGTACTCGGAAGTTGGAGTAGCTGCGGTTGAGTATTGGTTCGAACGAACGTCTTGATGTTGTGGTGGATACTGCGCAGCAGATGTATTATCTGCAGGGGGTTCTTCAGATTGAGCGTCTGTGAAGGCGTGTGGATAGGGCGTTTGCAAACCTGACTGCGTGTATGCGGTAGACCCTCGTTCCATAGAGGTGTGTTTCTGACCGTTTGTATATGCCCCAATAATCGTACTTATGTTTGCTTCTGTCTCGTCAGGGGGATTCTTACTCTCAGTGTCGTTGGTGGATGTTGAAGGTAAAGTATTATTGAAGGGATGCTGTGTGGAGGCCAGGGACATATCACACTTGGAAAGATTCTTCAAGTATAGACTTGACGTTGCCTAGTGTATACTTCAAGTAGAAACTTATGAGAGTCCGTCGAAAGTAAGAAAGAGTGAGGTGTTGGTTTATTTATAGAACTTGGGAGACGATGCCCTTTAAGTAGAAATCCCGAGTGATGAGAGTTGATGGACAGGACGATTGATTGGTCGAAATCCCCAGGACGCTAACTTTGAGGAGGAGACAACTTATGATGCTGGGACTGAGATGGAATATGGGTCTTTATGGGATTTAAAGTTTAGTAACGAGTTGAAGATCGAAACTCTGATGATCGAGTTTGGCAAAGAGAAGGTAGTGTGTGGAGTGTTCCCAGAAGGGACAAGACTCGAGGACTAGAGACTGGAGTTGGCCAAAAAGTTTCCGAAGACCGGTGTCTTGGGAAACCGAGTCAAGTTCGAGTCAAGTTCGACTCAAGTTCCAAAGGTTCGTGGTGGATTGGAATTATTTGACGATGATGATCTAAAGATGTCAAAAAAAAGGTTGACACTAGTGTAGCGTGTTGTGTAATTAAAAAAACAATTACAGTAACCCTTTTAAGCCTTTGGAGAGGATGATGGGAATTGGAACTAGAGAGGTAGAGGTGTCTGTAACGAGGCAGTAGAGTAGGGCGTGTAAAATCAATGGATGAATGTGGTTGGATTGATTATTTGGATTGCCAATTCAAGGTAAGTGTGAGTGGTAGTGTGAGTGTGAATGTGAATGGGTAGTTGGTAGTGAGTGGTAATGGGAGTAGTAGTGTGGTAGTGTGGTAGTGTTGTGGTAGTGTGGTAGTGTGGTAGGAGTAGGAGTAGGTGAATTGATGAATTGAATTGATGGTGAATTGATTTAGTGGTGGATGATGGATGGATTGAAGGTGGTGTGGGTGGCTTCTTCAATGATCAAAGAGGTAAAAAGAGTAAAAAAGAGTCAAAAAGGTCAAAAAGGTAAAAAAGGTTAAAAAGGTTAAAATCTTCTGGGGGAATTCTTCACTCTTCTTATTAATAATCAAAGAAAGAGAAGAGAAGAAAAAAATCAAAGATGAGAAAAAAAAGATCAGTTGTTTTGTGGAGTACCGTACCTGGCCTGGGTAGGCAAGAGTGAAGAGTGAAGGTAAAAGGTAAGAGTGGCTGATGCTGGCTGATACCGGTACTGCGTGACTGATGGATGGATGGATGGATGGGTGGATGGGGTTGATGGATTGACTGATGGGTGAATTGACTGATACAACCTTGGTCAGTAGTACCGATGCTCCGTAATGATGAAAGTGCCTCGGAATGATCAGAGCAATGATCGTCAATTAATTAATGAATTGATTCTCTTTCTCTTTCCTCTTTAAATTATGAAAATGAATTTCCAATCTGTCTCCACAATAGCGAATTAAAAAAAAATGAAAAGATTGAATTGAACGAATTGAACGAATCAAATCAAGCAAATCAATTCTTCACCCGCAAAATTGATAAAAGCGGGAAAGTGGCCAATCTTTTATTACCGATTTCCGAGTACACTGACTGACTGACTGACTGACTGACTGTACTAGGTCTTCTTCCAAGGTTGATTGATGGTATTGTTTTGGTATCCACTTTTCGCTTGGAGATGTGATTCGGCTTTAGTGAAATCTTGGGTGTCACTAGATGGAATGGAATGAATGAATGATTGATTGATTGATTGATTGATTGAATGAATGCGTGCCTGCGGTTATGGTAACTCGGCTTCTTCTGCTTCGGTGTCTTGCGTCTGTGCTTTTTAGAGTTTCGCTTTATTGTAGTGGCGTCGTAGATAGCGCGTGCGTAGTGTTGTCGTAGTAGTGTCGTAAGTATCGTAAGTATCGCAAGTATCGCAAGTATCGTAGTGTCCTAGTGTCCTAGTGTCCTATGTATCGTGAGAGTGTGGTCGTAGTTTGTGCGTATCTATCTAGAACCCACGCAGACTGCAAGTGGGAATTTCAATCTTCTCCTATACGTTATCCCGCTTGACTCGGGTAGGGAATAAATTCGTTAGATCCAATTCAATTTAGTTCCAAAAGGCTTGCTGGATCAGAATTGTTCAGTTACAGATGGTATTGTGAGCAATTGGCAATGGGAAAGAAAATGGGTTCTTGGTATGCTTGGTTTGGGATGGTGGATGTGGGGCTCGAAAAACTTTCTTTCTTTCTTTCTTCTTTCAGGTCAAAGAAAAAATTAAATCAAAACAAAAATATGGTATTATTGACCGAGTGCTCTCAATGGCTTGTTCGAGATTCCACAAATAAAGGAGCGAGTAAGCAACGGTGATGATTCCTTGGCTTGCGGATGAGGGATGAGTGTCCAAGATGTTGCGTTGGGGGAGACGGAAGAGTGAAGGAGCTAGACCACTTTGTTCGTGGCCGCCGTAGATACTGGTGACTTATTGGCAATGCGTGAATTGGGCATATGTTAGTTGTATCTGCTAGTGAAGTTGACACCAAACTCTATCGACTGAACAAAACGATCGTTCTTGGGAATCGACCGTAAGCCCTAGGTAGGATACGCCGTTGAGTGTGATGGTCTGGCAGTGGGAGTCCGGCAATAATGGTGGTAAGAATCGTTGCACGCCCGTTTCGCAATGGATGGCCAACCTGGCAAACTGGGAAATCGCTGGGACTGAATCGTGTATGCGCTATGCCTGGATGAGAAAGCCTCTATCAGCTGATAATCGCGAGGATACCGTCGACGTGCGTCCAAATTACCTTTAGTATCGAGTTTAAGAAGTCTTGGACGAGAGAGCTTTGTAGATCTCTTTGCAATCCTTATTCTCAATGCCAAAGAATTCCGGGCGAAGTTGCGAAAGTGAAAGTGTCTATGTAACGATGACACGATGTGAAGATGTGAAGATGTGATGTCTCGTCACGGCAATAAATGTTTAATTCCTATGATTGAGAGTGGCTAAACCTTAATTTCGATGACTTCTACTGAGCGAGAATCTGGGTCTGTTCACAAACAAAACCCACTTCTCTTCACAATGTTATCCCAGTCACAGTGGAGTAGGGGGCGCGTTTCAATCTGTCGATGTGATGATGCTGAGGAAAGTCCAGAACGCTTTTTGCCGTTTGGTTGAGAGGGGAAAGTCGAACTCGCAGTATTACAAATACTTATGACGATGCTTGGATTGGACTGGATTGGATTGGATTGGACGGGATTGGATTGGATTGGATTGGACGGGATTGGATTGGAATTCGGAATCTCACGGATGTCTGCGGAGGTAATCAGAACTGCCGTCACGTCTCAATGTCTTGGGGAAGATTCTGAGTGTCTGCTGGGCAATGCAGACAATCCCTTTTTTTTGGGGTCTTTTTCTTTTTTTTTCTTTTGCAATTTACTGAAGGAACGATGATGTACTTGGAAAGTGCCCGCCCTTAGGCTGAATTAACGGATGTGATTGATCTCCTTCGACTTGATACCCCTTTTATTACTATTTTGGCGTGTCGTGCAATGGTTCTGTCCGTCCGATCTTGTCTCCAAAGTGGTGGATATAGGACAAGTAATGACAGGAGACTTGTACTGTAGCTCTTCCAAATGGAGAATCGTTTCTGTTGATACTGCCGTTTGTAGGGTATGCGTTCGGGCCGTGATTGGTATGGTATCGAGGGAAGCTATAGCGTATGCCCGACCACAAATACCCAGAAGGATCTTGGTGTGGGTGGTTAGTTGGGTGATCTGAAGAAATTCGTACGATTACGGTTATTTTATCTAGTTGATATCTCCTGAATGTCTGGGCTAGCAAATGGCAGAAACTACCCACGACGCGTCGTGCCCTCTTTTGTGTCAATAAACAATTCTCGGAAGTGAGTCGAGGGATAGAAGTGCGATGGAAGTTCCGTGTCGTCGCAGACTTCTAATTTGTATCTTCGTAAATAAAAGATTGAAACTGTGTCTATTCACAATGCTTTGGTAGATTTGTTGTAAGGTATATTGGTTTCTTGGTAGCAGAGGGAGGTGAAGACTGGATAAATCCCGTCTGTTGGGCCCGCAAAAAATGATTAATGTTGGACAACTTATATCTGTCAGTATGAATCAATTAAAATTGGATGAAGCAGATGCGCATAAGGCGCAAATGCACTCTTTACGAACGAGATCAATAATCTTCTCCTGACACAGAAATTTGAAGTCTCAAAGCTTCAAAAAGTCTTTGATATTGATTGATATCGATGTCATTGTTGATATTCCATGGGAATATTGTCTAATGATGGAAGCTAACTTACACTGACTAGCGCAGAGAGGAATATCAAAGCCTCGGATGAATTCCTTGGCAAGCCCCTACACAAAGCGACGCGTTGACGGGAATGATAAGTAAGTCGTCCTAAAATTAATACTTATACACGTGATGTCAATTGACAGTTCGATAGAAAGCTTCGGTATAACATACGTTGATTTGGGAATAGATGAATTCGATGTTATCAGTCTCGAAGATTTAGTATAGATGCGGTACTGCGTAAGCCGATGGTGTGGCGGTAGCGTTGGCGGAGGGGAGGGTTGAATAACGCTTGTGTAGGCGACCTAGACGTGTGGGAAGCGACTATGATTTGGGGTTCTCTGGGGAGGGGGGGATTAGTCTAAGCAATAATGCCAGAGCTAAATCCAATACTTACTTGGATTAGGCGTTTGTTTCTACCAAACGACAATCGCGCGCTTCGTTTCAACTATTAACAAATCCTGCTACTCTAATCCAAGTCTAGTAGATGCTTTAGTTAGTTTGATAAATTCGTCTATCGTGATGACAGGGCTCAAGCAATAAAGTACAGTAGTGCTTGCTAATCAATCCATGGATGGAGAGAATGGAGTGGGTGGGAGACTACTGACGTGCGTGCGGCGTAATGGCCCTGGTTTGTGTTCAACAATTTTTTACTTCACTGTCGGCTGCCCCCGAGTTAGTGTCTCTCGGTATATGCGAATGGAAAAACTAGGAAGAAGGGGGACTAGGGAGGTAATTAAGGGTCTAGAGTAAGAGGGAAAGAGTTAGCTGATGTTTGATCTACTTCGAGTCGGTCAAAAAGATTACTCGCACGAATGCTTAGAAGGAAATTGGTGTTCTAGTGAGAATATTTTGGAAGGCCTGGGCTGAAAGATGCGTGTCAACCCTGAACATGCGTGCTCTTAGCGTCAGCAAATAGGATGGGATGTGTGCCAAGGATGGAAATGTAACGAATAGAACGAATCATACTTGTCAATCAGGGTAGCCAGCGGTCGGCCAGATTTCACGGGAGATATGAACTAGGAAGAGACTAGGATCAAAAACTCATGGACGTCAGTCGGTGACATGTTCATTTTAACCACTCGCTCAAAGCTCAACCAGGGGGTCCGTGTTTATCGAAGGAAGGAGGGGGAATCTTTTGAATGAATACTCCGTAGCTTTCAAGTTGCCAATATTGGCAAGCTAAGCCTTGAGGTGAAGGAAGTATGGAATAGGATCATACGCTATAGGTCTCAAACGAGAGAATTGTAGCCATTTCTAAAATTTGATCATGTACGATTGATTGAGCATGCTGTGACGACGCGATAATGGGATGATGGCAAGTGAGAAAGTTTACGAACAGTGCCTACATGCAGGTGGTGAGAGTCGCTGATACTTACTGTACATGATCGATTGGAATCATCTAGGAATGGTTAAAAAGGCAAGATATATCTGATATACAGTCGCATTCGATATGTATAATTCTCAAGTTCTCTTGCCACCAGAATGGCCTCACTATCAATTTTTTGTTTCTCGTTTCGTCTTTCGTTTGGACAATACAATGAAGGGGGGGGGTGGCGTTCGGGTTTGTGGATGAGTTGTCATCCAACTCAATTGTAAGAAATTTTAAAAGATTGATGTATAATCCATACTTGATTGTGGATTTGATGATCATCTGGGTACCACATAGCCTTCACTCGTTGAAGGATGTCGCTGCACTGAAACGAAATGAAACGAACCGAACCTTCCTTTCCTCTCCACCCCCAATTGGCATGTGATATGTGATTGTGTTCGGTTTCGTTTGTCTACGTAACCAACGTGCAGGAGTTGAGTGGTGGCAAGCTTCATAATTTGACAGATATCGACAATTACTCTCTTCTTACCGCCGCTGGCTATTGTCTATGTTGGCTGCATTCATTGCTTTATCCATGATTCGTGCTCGTTTTCTGTCATATCAGATATTTCGGGAATTTTTGGGATTCGTCGGAAGAACTGTTTGTCCTCCTTCTCTTGAGTCTTCACAAATTAATGGCGTGTTTCATTGGTTGACGCGGGTGAGTTAACGATGAATCACTTTGCATTCTGATCCTGATTTGGGATGACCACTTCAGCTTGCCGAGATTGAAGTTATCATCGGATTTAAAATGCTGTGAAGAGAAATCACTGCGGATTACGGTTTTGCGAACGTTGCAATATAATGTCACTCCATATCACTTTTTTCATCTTTCTCAGCTGACCAACAAATATACATGGCACCAGGGGGGGATTTGCCCACTTTCAAGCTCTTTGTCTGCACATTTCCCTGCTATTCCGCTCTCTTCCCCTCTTTCTGATTTTTCATCTCCACTCTTGTCCCATAATTCGTCTTCTAAGATGATCAACTCGGACGTGCCCAGCCAAACAATTGAATAAAATGTCCGTGGCTTCCGCCGACAGGATCCAGAGACGGAGTGCGCAGCGTGGATTATCAAGGATGAGTATTGAAATCCTTCGATTTCGAAAGGCAACAAGTGATCGCAAACGAGAAATATCTTTACCCTTCGGTTCCACTATCTTGTGGTACTCTACTTCGTATACTCGCGACATTGGACCAAAAGGGGAGAAACAGCTTGCACATCCATCCATCGTTGAAAGTATTTCTCGGAAGAGCGGGCATTGATTACCACCGGGTCACAATTTCACAAAGTTACAGATGCAAAGCAACACCTATCTCACATCTGCCGTTACTTGCGCAAGGGTTCGTTAGGATAGAATATGCGATATGCGGTTCTGCGCCTGCAGCTTTCCTCACTCGATGAGATGTGTGTGGCTGAAAGGGCGCAGTACTTAAAAGTGGGAGAGTAATGAGTGGTGCGAGGGGAATTCCTAGTCATTGCTAACGTCCGGGACTGAGTTGAAGAGGTCATCAAGTTTCGAGCAGAAGATGTACATGACATTGAGGTTATTTTGAAGACATGTCGTCCAGATTGAACCTGGAGATATTCCAGATCTTAGTTCTCAGATAAGCATTTTTATGGTACTGAAATCATAGTGTTGTGCACTTAAGTCGTGGCTTTGTGTTAACTAAAATCGTTCACCCGCAGTAGCAGCTCCCGACATAACGGTCATGGGAATCCATTAGCAGGCCTTTGGTTTGATAATCTACTCTCCGCGTCTGTGAGTGGTGGAAGCGACTTAGTCAGAGATAAAAATGGGATTATGGGAACTATGGGAAAAGCATCATTTCTCAAGGGCGACGCCTATTTTATCCAAAGAACCAGGGGAACATGAGACTAGATGGATCGCCATTTAGGGGCGATCTAGTAGCAACTTGGTTTGATATTAGAACAATTAGCATCAAACTTAATAGATATCAAATTGTTAATGGAGTCTCTTGAATAACTTGATCATACCACAACAACAGCAGCAGCAACAACGACAATAAGAGACACCTAACGCCCCCAAGACTGGGATGAATTTTGAAAATGGGATACATCATATTTCTTCAATTTTCACTGCATGTTTGGATAAAAGGAGTCCCTCTATGATTAGCTTTTCTACTGCTGTTATTTCAAGCAGGTATGTGCAACACGGAAATCCACTCTCACACATCTTTTACATCTAATTTGCTGTCCCCTTTGAGATCCTCGTATCTGTTGACGAAACAAATTGATATGAGCATCACAAGAATCCCTGGAGGGCTTGAAGCACGCACAAACATACAATCTCCATTTCTCGGACTACAAGTACTGTATGGGGGATCACGAAAAGCATATGACCCAATCGTTTCGCCCCCAAATCTTGATTCTTGTTTTTGACGAAGGATGGAGCAAATGGATCCAGAATTTGGAATTGAAAACGCATGAGTTCAGTGTTCAGTCTGCTCAATCCCCACATGTAGGCCGAGGAGGGGGGGAGCTCGGTGTCAAGACTCAAGACAAGTCTACGCTTTGTGCCAATACCATGCCATGCTTCTCCCAAGTTGTCTCAATGCCTGAATTGGTTTGATATTGAACATTAAACATTAAATATTAAACATTGACCGGACTTGATTGATCAGAGATCTGACCAAGTTCTTTGCCCCATGTAACCAATCTTTTCTTCGGCGAAAATGATGATACAGTACGTAAAACGACCGGGAAATCTTCTCCCTATATTTCATACAAATCCCTATCTCAGTTTGTGTTACATGATTGTAACTTCACTTGCCAATCAAAACACTTCGATATCCAAAAACATCTCCATGGAGGTTAACCTAGGAAGAGAAAGCCATAGCGTTGTCCAGAACTGCACGAGATCATCAAACTTGCTTGCTTCAAAGTACATGCTCTCGATTGTTATATATTACTCATCGAACATGGAAGGAAAAGTGTGGATGTACAGAGTAGAAAGATTGTATAGATTGTATAGATGGTGCAGTGTGCACAATGCACATACATACAAACATACAAACATACATACATACATACATACATACATACATACATACATACATACACACTTACTCACATGCATCTATCTACTCGGCACACACTACATATATTCATCCATCTGAATTCTGGAGTCGCCAATATGGAACTGGAGATAACCCGCCTCCAGCCCGTCTGTGAGCCCGTGAGTATGTGACTTTCCTTTCTTCGTACACGCTCGTAATTAAAGTTTAGCTCTTGACTCGATTCATGTTTGAGTGGCAAAGTAAGGAGCAAGGTATACGGCATCACAAGGTTTAGTGTCGATGCTACCCTGTACATCGTCTTGCATACAAGAGAGGACTCGAATAGTTTCCCCTGTCATGTCGTAGCTGCCGCTTTCCAGACTCAGTCCAATCCCTCCCTTCAGTCCGCTGAGTGCGGGACCAGGTGGATTTGTTAATACGGGTACGACAAGGTTTATGTTTTCTCATGATGACTAACACAGTGGGATGATTTGAGAATCAAATCAAATGAAATCATTCCATTCCCTTCTTCTTTCGTACATGGTCATCCAGATGTAGACTCTCATCCGAAGATTACATCTATATAGGATTTTCTTTTAGCTAGTCATGCGAGGTCGAGACTCGACACGCTCAACAATCATGCAAAGTGCTTCAATGGGATTAAGCCACCCGTGATGATTCAACATGATTCCTCGTCGGTTCAAGTCCCTCAAACTGTTTTTGCAAAACCTTCCGAGGTTGTTTGTTGACAGTACAATGCGATACGTCTATATTGGCGTGCTAGCCGGCAACACTACCTGTCATTCCCCCATCGCCAATATCTACTCGATACTTGATTCTCACGAGTCACCCCAACTCTAGGCAACGGCAATCGTCAATGAAGGGGGTGTATTTTGGAACCACCAGTCAATTTTCTACATATTAAAAATGCAACATAGATTCACACAATTTACCCACCCATGCTGAAGCGGAACTGCGTAACATATCTCGCTCAATTCACCAGTGTTTTTAGTCAGGAACTATAGAGCCAACTCCCCTCTAATCGCCTCCAATCATCACATCACCGCCGAAGACTCTAATTCAAGTCGAGTCTAGGTCTTGTATGATCAAGGCTTTAATCGAATAGCTCCCGTATCTTCCCCCACTCCGTTTCTCTCAAAGACTCAAACTGGACCCCTCATTCGTTGTATTGACCATGCAGTATCAGACGCGGCACAGAACTAAAAGGAGTGTATACTTTTTGTAAAATCTCCCTCCTATCGGTTTTCTATCTGTGTGGACCTCCTTCCCAATCCTGTTATGGGTCGCTTCTTCCACTCTATTCTTTACGCTCAACGTTCTCTGATTGCTTCAAACTTGATTGTTATCCCAGTTGGATAACCAGCCACCAACATGGGTTACACAAAGATAATCTGTGCAAAAAGTCCAATATTGCATTACTTCATGCACACCTCATCAAGTGATTAGACGACGCCTAACCATTACCCCATGCTACTACATACATGAATTCAATTTATTCCTCACGCAAAAGTACGAACACCGACCGTGCACTGCAAACAATCCTTGGCGTCTTCCTCGCTTTCTTAAAGGGGACCAGACTATTTCGAGTAAATAGTGGAGTGGTCCTATTCTGCAACTTACGACAAGAGAGTATTATAGATCTACCGAACGGACCCATCTCCGTCCAGTCCTTGGCAGAAGTTCTAGTCCTCGCACTATGAGATCTGCATCATTCCCGCTCGCGGCAATGTTAGTTGTAGAGGCCAAAAGAGACGCAGATTTAAGCACTACGAAAAGCAGGGTCTGGCAGCCGGTTCCGAAATGAATGCAGATGGATATTTTGAAAAATGGCAATTCTGAACTTGTCCATCTTTCCCAAACTGAACCAAATAGAGTCTCTTGTGCAGATACTAGCCTTCGCAACATGCAATCTCATATGTATAGCTACGGGGCAATAGTTTGCCCACACGTAGACGTCTTCGACTGATCGATCTTCTTCCCGATGACCCAGGACTGCAAGATGAATCACAATGACTTTTGGAAAACCAACGTCATCAGCCTGGATGTACGAATAACCTTACGTTTTGGCATCAATTCAAAATCGATGTGCATCTGCTATTCGGTCTGATCTAAAGGGCAGGTCTGAGCTCCTCCATGGATTCACTAGTCGTCACCAACAATCCGCAAATGCCTATGCATCGAACAACACATAGTTCAGCTCAATACCCTTAAATTATTGAAAGAGATTGAAACACGGGGTATGCACGTGCCATAGACTTTCACTAATTCGAAGACTAGATTAGGATTTAGGCGGGAAGGCCGAGATGACAGTTTCCATTTGCATTGGGTCAAGAGGCCTACGAATTAAGCTGTTTCAGGTTTTGGAATTGCATCGAACTTGAATTTTGATATTGTGGTTTAAAGTGATTTCCACTTCTTACCACATCAGCTCCTTATGACACTTCCTGTCTCATCAAAAGACCCTTCATGGTGATGCTGAGACAGGGATGGGCAGAAGGAAAAGGAAGTGCGAGGGACCAATTTCTGTCGCAAATGCGTTGTGTTTGTGAATGTGGAAAAATACTGAATATGCAAGATCTTCCAGGGATAAACATGTGATCGTCGGCATAAAAGCACGAGTCAGGAATCCTTACATGTTGGGCATTCCTGCATCCAGATTCCATACGGAACTGCAGAGATCCATACAAGTGGAGCGGGAGCCAATTCTTTCGCTATCTCCCCCCTGATTCTCGAATCATAATATTGGCGAAATGTTTTTATTGGAAACGGCCTTCTTTCAGTCGGAAGAGGATCAAATGTTGGGCTCGGGTAAATGATTTTTTGCATCGATGCTTGAGAGGGGGCGAGTCATACATACATACATACGTACCCATTGCTCGCTTGATTGTTCGCATTGAAATTTGAACCCTTGTTTTGCGGTATTCCCTACTCTCTGAATGCAGACATAACTACTTACTCGCTTGCAACTTTCCTCGGTTGCTCATCAGATGACAATAAGAGACAGCAAAAAGAAAACATATCGGCTCCACATATGCAAAGTACGAGGTCACATTCAGGAATTAGGAAAATACCTTTTGCACGAGTGTGCGCTGCGACGTTTCTTGTCATCGTGAGAATACAATGGGGTCCATGACGAGGACAAAGGTGACTCGCGACTCGCGACTCGCGAGTCAACACCCTTGAGCATTTCGTCGATTTGCTTGACCGCTGTTGTTTCGAAGAATATTGGAAAATAGTAGCTTCGTTACCGCCGTACCCTTTGGTGTTGATGTTGGGAGAAAGCTCTTCTGTTGAAATGCATACATAGCAAGTAAGGCACTGTATGGACACACTATTGGTTAAGACTACATCAAATTCGACCCTGAATGTAACTTCAGATATGCGAGCAAACATTCAATGCCGCCACCCCTTGATGGTGGAGCTTTGCAATTGTGCTCGCTTTCGCACTTAGCATCGTCGGAGCTTTCGGGACATCGATGGTGTTGATCATAATGACCGTCTACTATAGTATACACATTTAAGCGGGTAAATAAGTTGCATCTAGATTTCTCCATCATGGATGATGGTTGGAAAGGGGTTCGTCTACGAGGAGATGGGATGAGAGTACGTACCAAATCTATTCGCCACCCCTTATATATCTTTATTGCACATCTCCGGAGATGGATTCGTATGCATTGGTATATTCGCCACATGATAGTGCACGAGAAGGAAGGAAGACCGCGCAAGGAAGGGCTTTGGTTCATATCGTTCTGGCACACTTAAGTGGTTAGACGCCGGCGCGTTAGATAAACAATCGCAGTACAGTATACATGTCTGTATTTGGCAGACCTCTACTTAATCCGGCAATCTAACAACCCTTCAAAATCCTACCATTCCATAAACAACTGAACTGTGACTTGACCTTGATGAATTAGTTTACACGGTGTATTGTGACATTTAGTGTGACTGAGATAATGAGGGATACGTATCTATCCGGCAATGTATCTAAATTACCTCGAGCCTTATAAGATGTAAGGTGATCGAGGTACAAGACTCCCATCTGGGGAATCGGGGGAATGATGTAGGGTCTCGGAATAGGATGAGGTGATATCATATGATAATGATAGGAGATTCTATAGAATCGAGCCGATGGATTTGCGGTTGTAGATGTGTGTAGTTAGGGTTTCGGGTGAGAAGCGTGGAGGGAAAAGGGGGGGGGGCATACATAAAAAGATAGAAATGTTGCGTCAGGTCTCAGAGGTTTCGGATCTACTTCTTGATGATTTCAATAGATTCTGATAAAGTGACGGAAATGCAGGGTTGATACGTATCCTAGATCGTCTCTTGGGGAGATGAAAGGGGCGGGAGAGACTTGTGATATACCCTAACACCTATATCTCTTCACCACTCTTTTCAAATGTCCAAGGTAAGTAGGTGGGTAGGTAGTATCTTCCTTTCCATGTAACGATCTTCTTCTTCTTCTTCTCCTAATCCAGCGAAGGTTCCTGCATCCATCCCGACCCCGATATTCTTCCTTGTGTGTATATGTATATTCATCTCATTCTTATCTTTTTCTCATCCCAGATATCTCTTTATTATCGCTTGCGTCGCTTGTGCTCCTGGTGTTTAACGAGTTGTCTTGAATCTTGGACTTTGGACCTTAGATCTAGGTGGGTACTTTTTATATCTGAATTTGAATTTTCGAGGAGTAATCTTTGGTTGTTTTGTCTGTGCACTGACGTACCTTTTATTCTGATATCTTGACTCTAGATTCCAGGATTTTTTTTTTGATTTATAGAGAGGGAGAGAGGGAGGGGGGTATTTATGGTATCTCTTCCCCTCGTCTAAAGACAAAAAGAAGGAAAGAAAGAAAGAAAGAAGGGCGAGAGTATGTGATGTAATGGCGCATATGATATGTTTACGGTCCGGATGTGTTGAGCTGAGTTTTGAAGTTAAAGTGTAATTTGGGAACTTTCGTTGTTTGGAAATTGGGATTGGGTGGGGTGTTTTGATCGGGTATCTAGAGTGTTTGAGAAGATTGGATGGTTGAAAGGAGCTAGATATTTGAATTGAGTTCAGTGTATCTTCTCTTTGAACTGCAATCTAGAATATTGAATGCACTGAGCTCGCTGAGAAGATAATATTGAGCAACTCATTAATCACTTCCATCGTCGTCAGTATCTCCGTGATTCTTCCTGCTTTCCTCATTCTCCCTCTCATCTCCATGTCATCAGTTTATCCCCAGCCAACTCCCCCGTCAGAGTTTATGCCCAGTATACTTCACCACTTTAGTCATCGCATCCTCTCTCAGGGACTTCTGAATACCTTAAACTTCGTTGTAAAGAGTCTTCTCTGGCTCAACTCTCGCAACATTATACTTTAGCTTGGCTGCTGTATCTGAACACATCATCTAATGATAATACGTATACCGCTCTTCTATAAACTGTCGTTAAAAAAAGCAAGTTTCTTCCTCTGGAGTTTTGAAAACTTAAAAACTGTTGATAGCGTGCTTGTTTGACAAGGCTTTCCTTCAAAACGCTCAGTTCTCAAGTATCTTCTTTGTCAATGAGAGAATTTGTTGCTATCCATCATACAACGAACACCATTCTTAGTTAAGATTCCAACATAGGAGTTTCCTTTGCGAATACAGTTTATAGGGAGTATCTTATTATTTCAACCTGACAGCCACTCAGTGTACAGCGAGACGTGTTGTTTCAAAGGACTTCAAGTATGAGAAACGACGCACCAT